CTTTTTACATGTGCTCAATCAAATTTCTAAATTTACATTGTTATTCTTAAAAGTCGATTTTTCATTCTTTGAAAGTCAGTAATGGGTCTGGTTTGATTATAACTGCCAACAGTGATTTGTTGTTAAATAATCGCGAAAAATTGATTCCTTCTTGATGGTTAAAAACGAATTGATTCGAAACAATAACAGAATGCTTTCTATGTTGTATTTTAAATGTTAAAATTTAAGTGTTTATTATGAATAATCAACTCAGAGTGCGACTAAGAAGTAGCCGCTGATGCCTTTTACAGCCTTATTACTTTAAAAAAAGAAGTTCATGCAAGAGACTTGTCGTCGATTCCTCCGCAGTTGAATCGTTCGCATTACCATTTTAATTCTTACGATTTGCATGATATCATAATATCTCATAGTCATATAATACAGTGGGCTTTGAACTATGCCTATAGAAAAGCGTCCCAAACTGGGATCTCCCCTTTACGCTCTTCTTCTAAACCTTTGGAAGTAAAATTTTGCTTTTTTTCCTTGAATCCAAATATTAAGGCTTATTAAAGTAGTGAACAGTTTTTTCACGTCTTGGCTATTCCTCTTTTTCTTTGTAAATACAATATTTACCAGGAATGCTTTATACCATGTTATAGAGACTTTTTTTTCTGGGCACTTTTTCCTTTACAGACCCATCAGTGAGCATTTGCTCTAAGAATGAATGAAAAATAATCTGGGATGAGAACGTTTCACGAAGCTCTTGATAACAACGAGTCAGCTCAATGCAGGAGATTAATGCATGAGCTTACAGCCCAATATTATCTATAGAATCAGCCTATGGTTTTTATGGAAAGTTCAGGAGCGGACGAGGAAAGAAATGAAGCTCTTTTTGTGAAAAGGTCCCATAACCCGAAATAATTTTGAATGGACACATTATAAAAACCTGTCTAGTCTAAATATCATCGTGCTTTACGAGTCTGGATTTGATTTCAAAAAAAAATTTTACACCAGGTGACCGTGTTTATCTTATTCAACAAAATTAAATCATTTGGTTTGATTTCCTTCCTATTACTTTTACAATAGGAAGAAGATCAAACAAAATGAGTTACAGCTTAGTGCTTTCACAATATTTTTCATTTGGACTGATAGCTTGTTCTCAATGTAGATGATTACTCACTGACAAAGCGAAACCAAGACTATAGCCCTGATTTTTAGAAAGCTGCTGAAAAACGTTGTAAAACTATGGAAAGCATTTAGAAACTGCGAGTATCAAGGATGTTTGTCTCTGTTTTTACAAAGTTTAGAGAATTTTAGCTGGGAATTTACTTTTAATTTACCCTAATATATTCTCGTATCAATTGCAAATGATTATAGTTATTGCTGGTTACTTGGACGCAACATTGTAGAGATGATATAATACATCAAGCAAACACAGTGTTTTTGTTCAAATTATCTCAAATTTGAGCACATAAACGATGCAAAAAGGCCATATTCGACTCCTCAAATTACGCCCACGTTGGCGTTAATTAAGGAAACATAACTAGAGCTTTGTAACAGCGAAGAAATACTTTAGATAATATCTTTGTATTTGTGATTCATCGCATATGATGTCAGTTGCCAATGAGCGCTGATAGCGTATGCGTTTTCTATGTAAGATAAAGTATTTGCGTGATTTATTTATCACATTTCATCGGTTAACTCTCTATTTAATGTGCAATTATTTATGAAGGCTTCCAATTGCCTGTTGAAAAATGGATTACCTTTTTCTTGCCCCATTCACGATATGCTTCCAAGAACCCTTCGTCGCTATGGTTTTTAGAGAATACTCACACCCTCACAAAGAGCTTTTTCAGTGTTTTTAGTCATTTCATCATGAAAATCCTATCCATAGCCTTTCTTGCTGCTAATATTATCTATATATTTGCCGAAAATCATGTGATGATCTCAATATTGACAAATGATGGATTTCTATTGCCAGCTATGGTATTAGGTGAGTCATTGCTTTAGCTTATATTCTTTGTGCAATACGATCCTACCAAACAGAAAATTGCTTGCATCGCGGTGCAAGACAAGGAAATGAGTTCTTTTTTTTTTGGAAGTTTACTGCAAAAATGTCAA